CCTCACCATTTGGCTACTGATAAGATCTCCCATGTTTTCCGTATCGCCTTCAAGTCGAATCTGCGTTACTGGTATTACATAAAGACCGGGTATTGTTGTTGTTGTTTTTATCTCTTCTTTTTCTTTCGGTTTAATTAAAACACAAATGTTTGTGCCGTTTTAAGCGGAATGAAAGTGAGGCCGTCAGTGCAATACTGTTTGCAAAAATTTGAGATCTATTTTATTGGTTGACAAAGAAGAAAAGGAATTAACAGACTTTGAACCCTAATCAGCGACTGAGTAGGCTCTTATTTTCGGCGCTGATCCACTAATGAAGCAGGATCTTTATTTGAATAATAGCTTTTATTAAGTCAATCATAGAGAAAGTAATACAAATAAAAGTTGTCACTGAGATGATTGATGTGAAATTCAGCACCTCGGCAGAGTTTCGTCGCTCTCCTCAGGAGCTTTAACCAATAAACTGCCTTTTTTCATTTTGCTCTATACACACACACACACACACACACACACACACACACATATATATATATATATATATATATATATATATATATATATATATTAAGGAAGTAATATATTGTGTATATAATATAGAAAATGTGCCTCCATTATTTATATGGAATGCACAGGACGATAGACAGATTTACACTATTTGAAAAAGAGGTTTGTCTACTCAAATGTATGAATCCACAAAATATAACATGTAAAGAAATAATAATAATAATAATAATACACTCACATACAAACACACATGTACACACACACACACACACACACACACACATATATATGTTTTGAACAATAAAAAATATTAAAAAATTAAAATTTTCAGACACACTGGGTTGTATATTAATATTTTTTTGTTTTATTATTTCAGTTAGGTTCCTCGACTAGTTTCGGCCAGCATGGCCATCATCAGGAGAACAAAATTCCTGCTTGTTAGCAGCAGTGAACTTCATGAATGAATGACTTTCTGAAGAAAATAACTTTATATGTTGTTTTCATTTGTTTTTTAGCGTTAATTTTGGTCAGTCTTTGTGTTGGTCAAACGGCTTCTTTCAAGTTGTTTTTAAGTTAGAGGTTTGGAATTTCCTTCTTGGTCATTTTGACAGCTTTATTGGTTGCTGGGTAGGGGATGTGTATGTGTTAATTCTTTGGGAGTGTGTATGAAGTGTGTAAGTGTATGTATTAAAATGAATGTGCGCATAAGTGTGAGACCTCAATATATATATATATATATATATATATATATATATATATATATATATATATATATATGTGTGTGTGTGTGTGTGTGTGTGTGTTTTACCAGAAAATGTAAATAATTTTTGTGCGGACGTCTTTATGATTTCATCGGATTATAAATTTGGTCATAAATTGTCCTTACATATACAAGGTGTCTATAAAGTTCGTGTGCACTTTAAATAATTTATAACTTTAAAGTGCACATGAACTTTATGGACACCCTGTGTGTGTGTATATATATATATATATGTGTGTGTGTGTGTGTGTATGTGTGTGTGTATGTGTGTGTCTGTGTGTATACATACACTCACACACACACAGATATGGTTCTATTATTTTCAATTGTGATGTAGAGATGTGTGGCTATGCCATGATAAGTTCCGCATCTAATTGTTGTTGGAGTATTCTTACCGTTACATGCAAAAAGATTCTAAGATTGCTATCTGTTTAAAAAGCAATATGATTAGCTGATTATGATCATCTGATCAGGTACAGTCATTTTTGCGCCCAAAATTGATGATCTTTTTTGTCAAAATCTGGCAGTACCATAGTTCAGTAAGAGTGGCTAATGACAAAACAAATGTTAAGTAATTCCTGACAACATATTATTAATTCGTTCAAGTGTTAGGAATTATATTTTATTGGACCTCGGTAGAAACCCCAAAAGTTCAATGTTAAAATTATATATATATATATATATATATATATATATATATATAGAGAGATAGAGAGAGAGAGAGAGAGAGAGAGAGAGAGAGAGAGAGGAGAGCGAAGGATAAATTGTCGTCTAAATTACGCAAAAATGAAAATAACACTGACATTTCATTTTAACAGATATATTTATCAAAATTACACAAAAATATCTGAAATACCAAAGACTAGATTTATTCAATAAAATTGCCATTGGTTTTAATCATGGATTCCAGACAACTTCGGACTCTTCTACAACTTTTTGGGACGGTCTCCTTGTTTAAGTTGGTGAATAGTGCTGTAATCCTTGCCTTCGGTTCATTGTAATCTGGGGAGTTAAGTGATCAGATGTAAGGGTTGATTTGGTCGCAGAAATTGCCTGACAGCCATGACTGAATTCTTCTGCTTGTGTGGCATGGGTCTTCCAACAGCCACCGTCTTTACCCAGGGCAGCATTACATCTTCAAGACACCTGATTTGTCAGAATGGTAACTTCATCACGGAAGGTGAACGCGAGCTACGGGTGACGGGAGATCACTGTGGAATCAGCCTGAAAACCACACCATGGTTTTGAGCCAAACCGTGTGAGTGAAATTGGGTAGACGGAATCGTTCGCAACCCGTCAATGGTTGTACACAAGTCCTCGATCGTACTAGCTTTCATAAGACTTTTTTGTCATGCTAGATAGTACGATTTTCTATCCTAGAAATCCTAACTAATGCCTACGCATCATAGCTGCAGTATAAACTACAGTTGAGCAATGAGAATGTTTAAGAAATACAGATGTGCCTGAATCAGCATTTGCCTTACCTCGGAAATGGCTGTGATAGAATACGAGCGCACTTTATTACACCATAAGGCGAATCGAGTTCTCCGTGTCTGTTTAAAAATAAATACGTATTTTACCATCGCGGTACGCCAATGGCTCAGGGGTAAAATCTCTGACTGATGAGAAATCAGTCGGGTTTCGCTCCTGTCTTGAGGCTAATCTCGTCACACTGATGAGCTGTGATGATACTATATATGGGTGACAATATAAATTTTAAGACATTTTTATGTTTATACATTCTTTTTATAGATACAAATATTTAAGTAAAATGCTCCGTTTATAATAAACAGTATTAATAACATTTACCGGCTAATGTCCGAGAGATTTTCATCGAAAATATTCGTTCTCAGACAGGAATCGAACTTGTATCCTATAACGGAACCGTCATATAGCTTGACGTGTTCTTAACCGATCGAGCCACGGAGAATCGTCCAATTGGCAAGGTCGATTTTACTGCTTTTAAACTTCAATCTTCCATGCATCTCTCACGTACATTCATATCTGCTCAAAGCGTATCCAAATGTAAACAAATGACGTCACACATTATGACTTTGCTAATTTCTTGAAATATTCAATAAATATCCAGATGCATAAAAATCGACCATTAGTTATAATTTTCTACCTATAAATACCAAAATCCGAATGTAAAATTTGCTATAATAAAGATTAAAATAAAAACCAAATGAATTGTATGAAAAAATATACTGTATTTAAGGTTTCCACCAAAAGTCATCAATTCCCTCAATAAGTTCGCTATTATCTTATTTTCTTGTGAATAATTCGACTTGTGAAAAAATTTCCAGTCCGTGTTTCTAAAGATGTAAGCATGCAATAAAGTACAACCTTCAGTAATAATATAGCTCTGTAGTAGAGTCATATAACTTTTTTGAAAAGTTTTACTGTATTATCCATTAAATACTCGATGTCTTAGATATATTTCATTATTTTTTTCACGATATAAAAGAAGAGAAAACAACCGGAAGTTCAGCCATTGCATGTTTCTGCACATAATTTCTGTTTCAAAACCTATTTTTGAATTTTCGGGGGAAAGTGGATAACTGCACAGAGCCGGTAACACATTTTAAGGTGTTAATTAATCTAACGTATTTTTTAGTTTGACATTATTATGTTTCTATATATTAATAAACTATGAAAATAGTGAAATATTGTCTTTCATTAAGAAGGAAGAGTGAAAATTCTATTAAAAAATTAAAAATATAAACAAACTTTATCTTTTCATGAAAACTGAGTGCAATGTAATATTTGCTGTTTCAACTAAGAGATTTTTTTAGGCTTAAATGTCTGAAAATGTGTCCTTGTGTATAATACGTCTCCCCCATGTTTTGCCTTTAATTTTCGTTCTGAGATTCTTGTATTACGTGCATGGAAATAGAGTAATTCTTCTTGTTCTACGTACGGTGCCCTTTCAGAAAATAAACGTCCAAAATGATGTCATACATTATGAAAAAATATAAAAATTATAAAATTATATATAAAAATTATAAAAAGAACGTATAAACATAAAAAAGTCTTAATATAATTATCGGACTTTGTCCATTTCATAATGTGTGACGTCATTTGTTTACATTTGGATACGCATCGACCAGATTTGAATGTACGATAGAAAATCATGGAGAATTGAAGTTTAAACACAGTAAAATCGACCTTGCTAACCGAAACAGTCCTCTGTGACACAATCGGTAAAGTACGTCAGACTATGGGACGGTTCCGTATAGGATATTGGTTCGATTTCTGTCGGAGGACGCATATTTTTTATGGAAATTTCGCGGACATTCAGGCCGGCAAATGACGTTAATACTGTTTATTATAAACAGAGCATTTACTTAAATATTTGTATCTATAAAAAGAACGTATACACATAAAAAGATGTTAAAATATATGTGTATATATATATTTATGTATTGAGGCAGAAATTCTCTTTTAGGCATGTTTGATTCAATAAATTAGACATTATGTCTGCTAATTTTTAATAAAATCCGTTCACACTCACGGATATCCTTCCGTGTACTGATGTTAAAAGATGAGAGAAATGTGCTATACACACACACACACACATATATATGTGTGTGTGGGATATATATATATATACCTCCTATATATATATATATATATATATATATATATATATATGATGTTACTGTACGCTTGATTCTTAGATTCGAACAGCCAAACTACTAGTACATATTATATTATACAGGGCTTACAAACACATTACGTTGAAACACATGTTCTCGTACGATCGCCGAAGTTAAGCAGCGTTGAGCCTGGTCAGTACCTAGATTAGTGACCGTTTGGTAATGCTGTGAACTTGAACGCACCTATGGTGTAATGTTTAATGGCTCGAAATTGTTCATCGGAGAGTCACGATTCAATTCCCGTTAGGTTCGTTATATTCATTTATGAGCAAATACCCTTGAATCCAGCTCCCTCTGTTATGGGTTAATTAGTAAGACTTGTATCTCTAAACTATTATTATTATTATTATCTCAAAAGTAAATTCTTACAATCTAAAATATTTTCTGTTTGTATAAGCCATAGAAAACGAACCAATAATTCTTCAGTGATTATGGAGGTGAACGCTTCAAAAAATAGAGCAACAAAACTTTCTGGAGGAGCCGAATACAGAGAAACTTCCACAATATCCTCAAACAACAGTTCTCTTAAAAATACCCATATATATATATATATATATATATATATATATATATATATATATATATAATATAAAATATCAAAACTGATCCAGGAAAAGAGTTCAGTGTATTTATTATAACAGAAAATATAAATTACATAGGTTAGAAATCCAAAATGACCTTATTTGAATAGCTATTTTGGCCAACAAGACTTGCAGATCTTATCAACTGAATGGATTAAAGAATTAAAATACTTTTTTTAAATTTTTCTTCAACACTCTGAGTATTCTATGTATACAAAATAACTGTGGGATTACTTCTGTTGTCTATCTTAGTACTATTTCAACAATTGAAAATCCAAATATAAAGAAATTTTACATTGGTAGCACCATGAAAACATTCAAGGAACGCTGGCGGGGGCATATGCAATCTTTTAATCACAGCGAATATAGGTACATGACTTCATTATCCAAGTATTTTCGGAATCTCAAAAGAAAAGAACAAAACACCTACGGTTAAATGGAGTTTGGTTAAGAAAGCTAGGACATGTAACTCCCTATATGCCCCATGTTACCTATGCCTTAACGAAAAATTTGAAATTATTAGATTTAAAAACAAGGCTGATCTCTTAATTCGAAGATATGAACTTACAGTTAATTGTAAACACCGTTATAAATTTAACTTAGTGTAGGGTTCGTATACCTTAAATGATAATGATATGTCACTGTAATTTTAATAGATTAGTTTTTTTATTGCATGATGGTCATACTGACGATATAAATGTGTATTGTTTACCTACATAGTGTTATTAGTGTTGGTGTATATGTGTATATATTTATTTATGTGTAGGTTAGCGTGTTTGCACTGAGGAATGTGTAGGTTTGAATATAAGTGTAATTATATGTGTTTTATATATATATATATATATATATATATATATATATATATATATATATATGTGTGTGTGTGTGTGTGTATATATATGTATATATGTGTGTATATATATATAATGTGGGAGGGTATGGTAGATAAGAAGAGAAAAGGTTAAAATTTGTTGATGTATATGTGTATGTGTGTGTGTGTATATATGTATATGTGTGTATATGTATGTATATATGTGTGTGTATGTATATATATATATGTATATGTATATATATTTATGTATATGTGTATGTATATGTGTATGTATGTATGTATGTATGCATGTGTGTGTGTATGTATATATATATGTATATATGCATATATATGAGCACCTCAAGGCGGTATAATGGTTGGCAAGATTGGTTCGCTAGATCAATTGCGACTGAGTAGTGAGTTCGTTCCTCACTGGGTATCCCCTAATTTCGGCTTTGTGCCACGGTATATTTGTATATGTATGTATGTGTGTGTATATATATATATATATATATATATATATATATATATATATATATATATGTGTGTGTGTATATATGTATATATCTGTATGTGTCCTATTTTATTGTGTATGTATATTTATATTTAAGTATATTTCTGTTTGTATGAATGTGTTTATATATTTGTATGTTAGGGTATATGTATATTGGTGTGTGCTGGTATTTGAATGTATATTTATGTATGTATATGTAAGTACGTTTATATATGTATTTGGTTGAGTGTTGTTGTATTTATATGTATGCATGTATATATTGGTACTTGTTATTATAGATAGATATATTTATATATATGTTTATTTGTAGATATGTATGTATGTGTATATATATTTATGTATGTTTATGGATGTATATGTGCGTGTTGACACCTATTATGTAGGAGTTTGTTTGTGTGTATGTGTAGGTATGGAAACTTTGGTATGTCGTTACTGCCACAGTAGTTAGTCTATGTGTGTATATATGTTCATATATGTACTGGTGTATGTATTTATATTGGGGCATATATTTATATATGTGAGTATGTGTGCATAAAAAATGGGTGTATATATGTGTGTATTTATGTTTATATGTATATGTGTGTGTATGTGTACTTGTTATCATAGATATATATATATGTGCGTATATGTTTATGTTTATATATTTATATGTATCTATTTCTGTATGTATATGTATGTATGTGGGTATGTTTATGTGTGTTAATTTGTGTTTGCTGCCGCGTGTGTATATATGTATATGCGTATGACTGTACACTTATTTCTGTGGGTTTCTTTATCCTGTTTTTCTTCGCCTAATATATAATGAAACTATTATCAACTTATATGATTAAAATATATTTTTATTGATATTTGTGGTTTTGGAATTTTCGTTTTAATATATTAAATCATATTATTTTTAACCATTTTTATCTTTGTATATTTGCTCCCTTGCTTTGCTATAATTTGATAAGTGGTTAGCATTTATTTAATGATACTTTAAGTCTTAAATATTTATTGGTTGTGGTATCTGATTTTCTAGGTCATTGTCTGTGGATGTGTGTACGTGTATTTATCGGTGTCTATGTGTATGTAGAGCGCATTCACATTTAATTGTGTGTGTGTGTAGGTGTTGGTTTCCCCGTTTCCTTTTTTCATAAAGGGTTGTAGAGATGTTCCTGTCTTGTCGCCTTTTTTTTTTTTTGTGTGTGTGTATATATATATATATATATATATATATATATATATAAATATGTCTGGGTGCTTATGTATTATAATCTGATTGTGTTTTTGTTGTTTTGCGCGTGAGTTTAAGACTACATTCACACACTTTAGAATAAAATATATATATACATGTATTGTCAAATGACCGGATATATTGTAGCGTCTTGTCGAATGTAATTTCAACGAAGAAATAAATTGAATAACATATGTATTTTTTCTTTTCTCAATAATTTTGTAATTTTTAAACTTAATAGTGATTAAATTTGGATTTTAAAATTGCCAGTTTTTAATTTTAATATTAAATTTTATCATATAATTTTATAATTATTGGTTAGTATAAATTATTTTTAATATTACCCGTATTTTAAAGATCTGAATAGCTATTATAACATGATTTCGTTGTCAAGCTTTTTAAATCTTCCTATACTTGGGTTTTGATTGGTTATTCTAGCTTTTGTAACAATGTTTCCCCCTAATGTAGGATCGTTAATTAATCTGAAACTTTTCAAACCATTTATTTTATCTTCAACATCATCACTTGATGAGACACCGAGGGTGTTGAAACAAAATGGCTATTTTTGTAGTGATTTTATAACATTATGTTATAATTTTATAATTTTTTATAAATATATATATATATATATATATATATATATATATATATATATATATCCTTGTGCAATTTAATTGAAACAACCGCTTTAGTTTCCTTTTTTCATCATGTGTTTAGTTTTATCCCCACTGGAGGGACAGGGTGTAATCGATATTTTTCCTCAGATTAGATTATTTGCAGTGGTATTCAGAAAATGAATCAATTTTCAGGGTTTAAGATGATATTTCTTTTGGCCTTGAAAAAATATTGCGTCATCCGTGATTGCATCAGATTTTTTATCACGCCCAGACACTATTGACGATTACTACGGCCATAAGGAAGGTACAATAAACACACTGGCAAGCCTTTACCAGTGAACAAATCAAAGTACTATAGACTGGCCCGAAGCTTTCCTGATCTGATCAAGAATCTGTAGTCAATATATATATATATATATATATATATATATATATATATATATATATGTGTGTGTGTGTGTGTGTGTGTGTGAACCAAAACTTACAGCACATGAGATTTGATTATAGCGGTGAAGGTTTTGTGTAGAATTATCCATATTTTTTGAAGGGCCGAATACAGAGACTTGGTGCACTACGTGCCACAGGGACCCCAAACGACCCTCCGCAGGTTTTGAATTTAGAGTTGGCTTTCTCCTAGGCTATACCATTTGCCATCAAAGGCTATAGAACCCAATCTGTTCTGCTATTTACCCATGGCTGGAGGGAGAAGAAGAGGATTCGCACCTTTCCCAAGAGCATTAACATGTAAGCGAACGTAATGGATTCGACTGGAATTCGAACTCGGCTCCCCGATTCCTCAACCGTACCTCCTATATATATATATAGCCTTGGTTATTTCACAGTTTTTGGCATATTCTGCTAGCCTGAAAAAT